TTCTTTCAAAGAACAATGGAAAGTAAATCACAGGCGAAATATCAAAATTTTATTAATCTTCATATTTAGTACAACAGAAACTCAATGGAAGAGCTTGAGTTCAGCAAACATTTAATATTTTTTGGTTTAATAACGGCAGATAGTATTTCAAGCATTGTTACAACATATTTAATCAAAGCGTCTTTTGGGATTTTACTCCAAATGTTTCTAAAACACTCCCATAAAGTTTCTTTGGAAGTAACTTTTGATTTGTCAAGTTTTTGATCTATCAAATCCCAGATCTGCTCAATTGGGGTTGAGATCGGGGTTCTGTGGGGGCCATTGAATCATTTGAATGACTTTAGCAGCTTCTTTCTTAGCTAAGTAATTTCTGCATAGGTTGGATGAGTGTTTGGGGTCGTTATCTTCTTGGTAGTAGAATCCTTTACCAATAATACACAAACCACTGGGTATACCATGATGGATCACTATCTGATGGTACTTGCGTTGGTCCATTATTCCATCTATTTTGGAAATATCTCCTGTCACCTCAGCAGAACCATGCTCCCAAACCATCACACTGCCTCCTCCTCCATGCTTCATGATAGGTGCTATGCATTGAGGTAAGTATCTTTCACCTTTCTTCTGCTGGATGCTATGCACTGAGGTAAGTATCTTTCACCTTTCTTCTGCTGGGTGCTATGCACTGAGGTAAGTATCTTTCACTTTTCTTCTGCTGGATGTACAGCTTACACTTTGAACCAAATATTTCAAACTTGGACTCATCCATCCATAACACCCTTTTCCAATCAATAGTCCAGTTTTTGCACTTTTTAGCAAATTTGAGTCTCTTCCTTTCCTATTTTCGAATTTACCTGTCTCATGATCTAGGGTGTACTTGACAGTGTTTGGGGAGCATTTCAAATCTGCAGCAATTTGTCGGAGAGTCCAACTAGCATCACGTAAAGCTTTTATGTGAATTCTCTGTTCTACTGACAATTCTCTATGCTTTTAGGGCTGTGGCATGACAACAAAATTTAATATATACTGTTAAACACTGTTTTTATCAAGGTTTATTTGTGGAGTACTATTAAATTGATTTCTTCTAGCATATACCAGTACCATATGCTAGCTCCTTGCTAGCTTCTTTCTATATAGTTCAGATACTGCATGGGGTACCATGACAGTTATTTCAGACACTAAATTTGATCAGTATGTTCATTCAAGCAGAATCCCTATG